GTCACGGTGCGAGAGCGTTTTTAATTATTATTTAATTATATAAAGTAAAGTTATATTATAGTATATTTAGCTATTATTTAAAGGCTTTTAAATTATTTAAGTTTATAACTATAAAAAACTATAAAAAATAAACCTTTTTATATCTCTCTTTAAGTGTTTAAAAGGTGTTTTAAAGCTCCCTTAAAATTAAAAGTTTAGATTATTTATTCGTGTATATTTAGCTTTTATTTAATTACCTTCTTTAAGCTCTTATAGTCTTTTAAAGTGTAAGTATTATTCTATAACTTCTTTATAATCTTAATACTATAGTATTAAGTTCTTCTCTTATTTTATTTATATTAAGATTATTTTATACCCTATAATTTATATAATCTTTTATAAGTAGTTTATAGTTTTAGCTTTCTTTATAATTTTAATTCTATAGTTTTAATTTCTTATAAAGATTTATTTATATTATTTCCCTTTTAATATAAAATAAAGGTTTATTCGTATTATTCTTAGCTTTATATAAGTCTAATAATCTTTTATAACTTATTTTAAGCTTTATTTAAGTCTTAATATTATAGTCTTAAGTTTTTATAAGAATTAATTTATCTTATAATACTAGTAAGCTTTATAGTATTTATTTAATAATAAGAGCTTATTTATATAATATTATTAAGTGTTTAGCACTTATATTAAGTTAAGAAAGAAATAAAAAAAGGTATTAGAATTATAATAGTCTTAATCTTATTATTAAAACTATATAATAATTTAAGGTATTAATTATATTAATTACTCTTATTCTTCCTTCTTTTTACCTAAAGTGTCCCTAGTAATATTACCTCTCATTTCACTATGTAACGTGACTTAATCCACTTTTTCCCATAACAAGGCTTCAAATTGCGTTCAAGTTCGGTCAGTCGCTCTTGCCCGTTAAATCATGCGGCGAAGCCCTACCCTTAGCCGGTCCTAAGAAGGCACGCTCTCTAGACGCACAAATCGGCCATGGCCATTGAATTGATGGCTAAAGTGCCCGCCATCTTCATCTTTGACAGCGAACCTTGCCCCGCCTACCCTCCCGTTGTCTTGCCTTTCCACAGATCCACTCGTCCCGAGCCCTCAGGGAGCTAGACAACGAGACACGGATAGATGAGTGACAACTCTACAATGTTTTTCTGCTTCATGCTAACGACTGTGGCACACGATTACGTGCAGTACGCAAATCCATGCGGGGGGTAATTTTACAACACTGGTTGCGTGTGAGCGCTTGTGAGCGACTTGTGTGCGTCTAGACAAGCCCGGCAACAACTTCCCTGCTATGAAGGGTAGCATGGTTAGCAACGAGCCATATTAAAATCAAGGCTCAGACGTGTCGCCGTCTTTCATTGCAAGCCTTGCCCACGCCTATGAGAGTTGGTCGCCGCAGCGTTGCTCTCGAACAAGGAAGGCACTCTGTGCAATGGTGCAAAGTCGAGGACCTGGCATTTTGACGGCCGGAAATTGAGGCAGCACAAATTCAATGTTACGAGTCCAGGAGTCCGATGAGCTAAGGCTGAATGAAGTCACTCTGGAGTGTCGGCCAGTGGATTTTTCTTTGGCGGCAAACCGCTACCAAACCATCACATTACTGTGCGCTTGGAGACATGTTAAATAGTACACGAACCACACTTGCACAAGATTCGCGAAATCTAATTTCAAGTGACTACGCAAGATGGCAGTTATACTGCGCCCATGTCGTCCATGGTAGCTGTTCCGTGAACATCATTGGTGTCGTCAAAATAGATTGCGATGCAACCTCGATTGATAAGATCTCGGTCGGCTTGGCCAACGCCACCGACCGGCATCGGACCCATGGAGCGCCGAGTTTTAATCCGTCACAAGCCTTCTCGCAACCTTCTCGCGAACCAGTTTATTGCCATCAACGACGTCACGCACGTTAGCGGGCGCCCCACGACGGCGTTTCTCATGAGCATACGGCTTTCTGAGCAGCCACCTAGCTAGCCCTTCTCATTCCGCGCATCGTTTTGCGCCAGAGCAACCAAAACACGCTGGCGGCATGACCAGCTCAGACAGGACCAGCTCAGACAGGACCGTCCTGGTCCTGTACGGCTCCGAAACTGGCAATGCCCAGGATATGGCCGAAGAGCTCGGCAAGTTGTGTCAGAGATTGCGCTTTACCAGCCGCGTGGAGGAGCTAGACAATGTGAACCTGGTAAGTTGTGCAAAATAGCTCGGTCACTTCGTGTTTTTGCTAAGTGCCTTGTTTTCACGCAGAATGAGCTCCTCCAGCACCAGTTCGTCTTGTTTGTCATCTCGACAACCGGACAGGGTGACATGCCACACAACTCCCTCTTGTTTTGGAAGAAACTGCTCCGCAAGAAGCTGCCGCCTGACTGTTTGGGCCAAATGAAGTACTCTTGTGTTGGTCTCGGTGACAGCACCTATCTCAAGTGAGTTGCATCAATCGGCCCATCACCAACACTTGGCTAACTTAATATGTAGATTCAACTGGGCAGCCAGAAAGCTTATCCGGCGTCTTGACCAACTAGGGGCCTCTACATTCATTGAGCCGTGCGAAGCCGATGAGCAATTCCCAGAGGGGTATGTTGTTTCCAATGCCGTATCAAGTCTACATCTAACGTTCAATAGTATCGACGGAAGCTTTGTGCGCTGGGCAGATGGCCTCCGCAAACGTCTTCTGAAGCACTATCCCGATCCAATGGGACGAGGTGCCATACCCGAGGATCAGATGCTTCCTCCAAAATGGTCATTAGCACCCGCCATCAACAATCGCGCCGAGGCCTCTAGAAAGTCTCACGTCAATGGTGACACCAAGAAACCACCCTCAACACCACCACTAAACCAACTACCTGTTCCCCACGGGCTACAAGCCACCCTCGTTGAAAACAAACGACTCACCCCCGAAAGCCACTGGCAAGATGTCCGCCTCGTATCCTTTGACATCCCCAGCTCCCTGCAAGTCAACCCAGGCGACTGTCTGACCATTTACCCCAAAAACTTCCCCGAAGACGTGCAAAAAGTCATCACCCTTATGGAATGGGACGCCATTGCCGACGACCCTCTCGATTTATCTCTCTGCTCCCTCCCTCCCACATTATATGCCCCCCCGTCCCCATGTACCCTCCGCGACTTACTCTTGCACAACATCGACATAAACGCTGTGCCCCGGCGCTCGTTCCTTAAAAGCCTTTCCTACTTTTCAGACAACGAGGACCACAAAGAGCGCCTCCTCGAATTCACAAGGACCGAATTCCTGGACGAATACTTTGACTACGCCACCCGCTCCCGAAGAACCATCATCGAAGTCCTCGAGGAGTTCTACTCGGTCCGCGTTCCCCCTTCGCACCTCCTCGAAGTATTCCCACTCATCCGCGGCCGCGACTTTAGCATTGCCAACGGCGGCAAGCACCTCACCCCGACGTCCCCATCTCCAGCCACAAGAATAGAGCTCCTGGTCGCACTCGTCAAGTACCGCACCATCCTGCGCAAGCCTCGAGAGGGCCTCTGCTCCCGCTACATAACCCACCTGCCGCCCAGCACCCCCCTAACCGTCACCCTCAAACCTGTTCTGTCCCCCATCCACGGCGCCGTAAATGCCCAACGGCCGCTCATAGCCATGGCAACAGGCACAGGCGTCGCCCCCGTCCGCTCACTCATCCACGAACGAATGACACACAAGTCCTCTGCCCCAATGATATTGTTCTTTGGTAATCGTAACAAAGACGCAGATTACTTTTTTGCCGAAGAATGGAGCGCACTTGCTGGAGACAAACTTACTGTGTTTACGGCGTTTTCCAGAGATCAGCGGGAGAAGATATATGTGCAGGATTTGATACGCAAGGAAGCTATATTGTTGGAACAGTTGATTCCGCAGAAGGCCATCTTCGCTGTATGCGGGGGCTCGACCAAGATGGCAGATGCATGTAAACATGCTGTTTTTGATACCTTCATCGAGGGTGGGGATGAGGTGGAGAGGAAGCGTAGCTTGGATGGCATTACTTGGTGGCAGGAAATCTGGTGATGAGCCACGGCTAGAAATTCAGTTTACTAGACGATTTTACAGATATGCTTCACTCAAGAGTACGGGGTGAATCCATATCGTAGATCGAGATAATTACAACATGCGTCTCTAGACCTCACACAATTTCAACGTCACAGTGTGCAAATTGTGCAATCAAAGGTGCTTCAACTGATGAAGTTGGTATTCAGCATTCAGCTACCATCTATCTTGCCATTTGGTGCCACTGAGCAGAGTTCATACCCCTTCTTCAAGTCATAGCCTCCGCACCTAACACGGCCCCTCCACTACACATCTTCTTGCTCAATTCCATTCCACCTCATAAAAACGTAAGGATATATATGGCGAACGAACCTTGCTCCACATGCTCCGAGTATCCAAGTTTGTGCCCCGACGAAGAAAAAAAAAAGGGAAAAAGGAAAAGGGCAATTGAGTCCCTAATTGTAATAACAGCAAGGGACAGACTAATAACTCCGCTTTCAGATTGCACCCCTTCTCATATTGCCGAATTGCTGGTTTCATGAGGGGGGGGGAAAACATCCCACGATTGATGAGCAAGAAAATGTGTAATGCCTTGCCCGAATGTCGAAATAAATTTGACGATTTACCGAAACTCCTTCGCTATTGTTACTGTCAAGAGAAATTACGTAAATAAGGTATAAAAATCGCTCAAGATGTGAAAGCCATGAAAATAAAGAACCGGGTCGGTAAGAATGAGATTTTGTCGGTCACAAATCATTGATTGGAGTATTGTCATGATCGATCTTCTTCCCAGCTGTACCGTTTATCGGCCATTTGAGGAACGTGGATGAGATCGCGACCAGTATCGATGCGGCCTTCCTCGGATGACCTATCCGAATGTACTGGCCTAGGGGACCCAGTTTGGCTTTCATGTTCTCCTGGCTGAGAAGGGAGTGGTTGTCGGTCTGTGTTCAATTGACTTCGTATAGTTCCGTGGTGACCGCCGTTTAGTCTCATGCTCGAATGGTTGGTGCCTCGTGGTTCTTCTTCTTCGGCCATTCTGTCCTCTTCTTCTGTAAAATTACTCCCCAGACTTCCTTCAGATGCGTGAGATCCGGGAACAAACATGCTAGCAGGTATCTCGCATCCATCGGAGTTCATCATGCGTGACCCTGTGCCTACGATATGGCCTGACAAGTGAACGCTCTCAGGCAACGGGCCCAGGCACACAACTTTGGAGGGATCAATAGGAGTCCGTTGAAATGCGGCAGGTATTGGGGGAGGTCTTGTGTCAGTCGCTTGGGATGCTGGTGAATTGGAATTTACGGACAAGGATCGGCTTGCCGTAGATTGACCTCCGCTTCTAGTGCCTGATGAATATGATCTAGGGGGCATGGATGCCGTTACAGGCGAAGGCAGTTCGGCTGAATTCCAGTCTCCTCTTGGTGACACCGGCGATGGCTCGGATACGAGGAGAGTGTTCGAGGTCGAATCAGCGCCACGAGATCTTGCTGGAGAAATTGGTGATGGTTGGTCTATCATGTTCGTTTCAAGAGTTGGCCGCACCTCAGGCACAGAAGCTTTCTCCAGTTGCACACCAGTTCCGTCAACGGGTGGTGTATATTCCGGCACAGGACCTTGAAGCTGCCGATCCAATTTTCTCCTTGCAATCTCGTAGGCACTGAGGTGCTGTGTGCTGTCTGTGCCTGAGTCTGTTTCGCCCAGAATGGAGTTATCGTCGCTGCCTCCAGCATCCAATTCGGCGGGAGCTGCGGGAGCTGGAAGTTCGTATATTTGGTGATCAGGGGCTTCCGATGGGTCACCGCTGGCTGTCATGGTTGCTCCTGCCCTTCGAGATCGTCTGCGTCCAACGATCCTGGAAAGCATTTGGGATATGGGACTCCTGGGGGAGTCTGGTGTGAGTGTCGACGCGGAGTCTTTGTCATCATCAAAGTCGTCACCCGATCGTTCACGCTGTTGTCGTTTATGGCGTCTGTAGCAGAAGAAGGCAAATACAAGTGTGCTGAAGAATGCCACGGCACCAACAGCTATACCAACCATCTCTGCTGTCGAAAGACCATTTCTACCGTTGGAGTCTGGTGGCGGCGGGAATGGGCTGTTGTTTGGTCGGTTTATCTTGGTCAGCTTTGCATCTCCAGTCGGATCGCTGGGAAACCGTGCTTGATGTATTGAAAAGACGCCAGAATCATATTTCGTCATGAGGTAGGCCTCTTGCATGAATGCGTTACCAATAATCGCGGTGCCATTGGTAGGGGCCTTCCTGAGGGTAAAGTACGGAACGGCAGGGTCGGTATATCCAACAGCTCCCTTCATAAAGGGGTAGCTCAATAAGCTCACGAAGGTTGTGATCGGCACCGTAATGTTTACTACACCAGTAACATCAAGAGGGTCGCCAAAGTTATCGTGATTGTCCATGCTTGAGAAGCTAAACACAAAAGCAAGGGAGCTGCTGGATGAATACTGGCGATACTGCTCGTTTGTCAAGGTGTAAAGCTGGAAAGTTTCATTGTAGGTCAAGTTAAGCGCCGTGGCAAAATTGTCACACAACGCGGGAGGAAGCCAGAGGTAGGGTGTTGTCGTGTCAATAACGGCCGTAAAGGCACTGTTATAATCCAACAAGATCCGGGTGGCTGTTTTCCAGCTGCTTTCGTTTGATGAGGATACCTCAATTCCTCGAATAAGGGGTCTGGGGACACCTTCCGTCTGATTCATGGTAAATGTCTTGTCGTGCATGGCTAGTCTGGCCGCATCATAGCCACCCAGCGTCGCTGATCCAACAGTGTTGCCTACAGTCGCATGTCAGCACATGTTAAACTTGCCCGCCGCGTGATATGCCAGTCAGGAACGAACGGTATGATGCCCCAGCAGTATATCCGTAGCTGTAACTGGAAACCCAACCAAATGATGCCACGGCTTGTCTCATTGGAGGAGTGGCAACGATGTCACCAAAGTTACCTGATCTCATTCCAACGCCGAAGAATCCGAGAAAGTAGTTTGTCGAGTTGATAGCTGATATGAGAACGTTGGACATTTGATATCCAACACTGGTCATGGGATTGAGACCTGCTATGGTGTCAAAGCCATATTGTCCATTACCTCCTGTCCCCAAATCCGGCAACCCAAGTTCCCATGTTCCCAGCCCAGACCAGTGCTTTGAGTCGGATGGATAATAAATACCTCCTCTGTTTGAGCTGCAATGAGGGTCATCTGTAGCGAAACACGTCAGTAAACGACGAAGGATTGATTGTTCACGAAATCCGCAATGTTATACTTCTGTTACATCCTCCTGGTCCCACAGCCCAAAATTCCGATAGCGCCGTACTAAACAGGACATTGACGTTGTTGGAGCCGACCAGAAAGCCGAATGTCGACCAATTTCCGTCTACTCCCAGCCTGTGGTACATAAGTTAGAAGCCATGTTTAGAAAATGAACGTCCCTTTGCACGCTGGCAATTTCCGGCGGTCGTGAGAGTTATGCTGAAGCAGTGACTGACCACGCGGTAGGGTAAAAGGCCACCGGCTGTGGCTCTGCTGCCTCCACGATCGGGGCAACAGATGCTGTGGCAGCAGCAACTGTCGTTACCGCTGCTTGCGCCCTCATGTCGTATGAAATTCGTTCCCTCCTATAATCGTGGGTCGAATATTGGTGCCAGCTGGTGCTGAGATGTGCGAATTTGAAGAACCCCCAGGTCACCGTCAAGTTAGTCAGGTTGTCCTGGGGTTCATCGAAGAGGCGCGTAAACGAAACAACTCTATTTTGCCATTCGCAGCGTAGACATTGAAGTAGTCGCGCAAAGTTCAATGACGATTGGCGATACGAGAAATATGACCCAATACTCCCATAACCAGATTGTCCTTGATGGCTCTCTTCGTAATTAGCTCAGTACAGGATTGGAAAATGGGAGTCCAAATAGGCAGTAGAAGTGAGGAACCGCGGGCAGCTTAGTCAAGGGACGCCGTGAAGAGTTGGCCGGCAGATGAGTTGGTGAAGAACAGAGTGTGGAAGATGAAAGTCCATCCAAAGAGTCGGCAGAGCATTTAGAGCGCTGTCACTGGGACCGGGGACATGGGGGGATATGGGGAGAGTCACTGGCGCAATCGAGGGACCATTCGATGTGACAGGGGTGTGCGGAGAATTCAAGACGAGAGACAGAGAGAAGGGACTGGAGAATGCAAGGCCAGATGCACCGCTAGCGCAATAGTCGTGAGAAGCCAGCAGCCGTTCACTGTTGATAAATCGGGTGGTGTGGCAAGCTAGATGCTAGAGACGCAGAGACGCAGGTCACCACCGCGTGGTGTGACCCGTAATTGGGGGCCCTAGGTAACTAACTACCTTGCGGATTTGTCGGTACATCCTTACTCCGTAATCCGTATTTGTACACACCGCTGTCGACACTATTCTCCTACCACTTCTCTCCCTTCGTCCTTGGCGCGCCAGAATCTTGCAAATACCGTACGGAGTTCAATGAGTCCATAGTCCAGAGCAAACGACTAGCCACTACGCAACTGACTGGGGTTGTACCCAAAAAGCCAGACACAAAAGTGGGTTGGCATTAGACTTGATTTCTCGCTCCCCGCTCCACGGTGGGAGCTTGACAAGATTTTGCTCTTCAAGAGCAACTGGTGTTGGACACGGCCGTGCCCTGACCAGCTTGATTGGCCCATCACCTGAGACCACAGGTGCAGCTCAGTGCGGTACAGGCCGGGCTTTGGCTGGATCCCAGGGACACGGGTATAGCTGGTGGACTTTTCCCCAAGGGAGGAGGAATGCAGCAGGGCACAGGAGCCATCCGAGTGAATCAAAAGACGCATCAGTTCCCTGTCCCCAATTTCCACCGTCTCAACCCACGGACGGCTCACAAAGTGACGGTCATTTCTCAGCCGGCCTATCTTAATTAGCATGACCGGCTCGCAGAGACATCTGAAGCCCGCAGGACTGAAATGGGTATAAGGGTTGTTGAAGACGACTTCACATTGTTGCGCCGTAGCACAATAGACGCGGTTTTCGCACATGTGAGCCTCCCGTCCCGTCTTTGAAGGAAACCAAGCTTACCAAAAGAGTCGGTCCCCGGCATCCCGCCGCCCCCTTCGCCGGGGCGGGACCATCCACGATGGCAACAAGGGCCAGCCATCATTGCGAGTCGGACGCCTTAGCTTGTGTCTGCCATCCACCCATCCTGGTAACTGGGTAAGCATTCGGGTGCTTCCAGTGATGTGGCGACCAGTGAGCATTCTCGTATAGACGTCCCGGAGCTAAACGGATACTAATAAAAAGGTAGTCGAGCAAACAGTTTTAAAACGGACGTATCCAAACACAGCGCACGCAGTGTCTTGCTTCGAAACTAAAGCCACTGATGATAACTAGACACTGCAAGTGCCAAGAATGCAAGTGGCGCTATTGGTGTCGCGTCGCGTGGAGGTACGAAATGATATGGATAAAACGTTTCTTCGTGTCTAGGCAACTATTAACTGAAGCCGTTCGAGGCTCCTATGAAAGGCAGGTTGTTCAATGCGTTTCACCACATCTTGCATTCTTGTGGGTGGAGATAAGACCTGCCCATCGTAGAAGGCGGTGCGACAGCGAGCTGCCACGTCGGGGTAAGCAAAGTTCAATTACGTCTGGTGCGAAGTGTATCGGTTTGGCACCTACTCCGTAATCTCTTAAATCTCCGACGAAAACACGCGTCCGTGATGCGGCGGTTGACGGACTTACCTGGGCAAGACGATCAAACCATGGATACCGGCGATCATCTTTTGTCTGTAGGGCGCAGTCCGTTTTGGCGTCCGTGGAGCCAAGCCTGTTAGTTATTGTGTACAGACATGCTCCAAGAAGTGATAGTCCTCAGTTATCCTCCACATCCCGCATGGCAGGTAGATGGCGCCGTATCCTTAGCTGTTGTCATGCTCTGGTATTAAAGCTTCACTAGCTCGATGCTAGGCAAAATCAGTCCCAAGAACATGGATCGGCCTGGCCGAGCTTGCCTGCTGCCAAGCCAGCATTGAATACTCCGTATTGTGATATTAAGCGGCGGATAGACAAAAGGTCAGACTCTATTTTCTCCTAGGGTAAAATTAATGAGTCTTGGTCATTGGTCATTAGCTCAGGCCAGCCTGGACGATGTATCCATGTCAAACCACATCCCTTTAAAAAAAAAAATCGGCGAGGCATTCCCATGACATCAGTAGCTATGACGATGCTTTCCATCACAACTTGTGAGAAGCCTCGCAAACTGGCTGTTGGAGCGCAGAAATCCCGAGACATCATGTCAGTGGCTGTGCTAACTGAGCCAGAATGGCTTCTTTTTTTCGCTTTTTGTAGAGCAATGGATGAATCCTGATTCAGGGTCAACGCTGAAGTGATTTTGCCCCTTCGTTGGTCAGCAATGTCTCAGAATCGAGTATTAAGGGAGCTGAAAGCACCTGAGCTAGCTTGTGCCGATCTACCCAGCACGCGTCCGAAATGGGTTAATATTGGTGCTATGTCGTCTATTGATCGATATGTCCTTCTCAAAGAAAGGTTGGCTATTTACCATATGCAATGGCACGAGGCTTGTTGACCGCCAGAAACGACACTAATATCTACACAAAGCTCAGATCCAAGGATGAACCGCATTCCTGACCGCCTACCCTGCCTTCAACAATAGTCCGTTACTGCGAGCCCTGTAGGAATGATTAGGGAACTCACTTGTACCCAGGCAGAATCAGTTGCATGGAGACGAAATATGCATATCGAGATCGGCTGAAATCCAAACCAGATAGTACTCGGCGTCGCAGGCACAGCTTCGTACAGAGTAGGAGCTACGGCAAGATGGCAGGCACGAGCCACCCAGCCAACGTTACCTGCCTGCCAAGATGCAAGTCTCCAAATCTCCACAGCCCGGTTCCGTAGTTATGCCGTATTGTACGAGTTGCTGACTCCGTGCGTCGAAGTTGTTCATTTCTTCTTGCTTGACGTCCTCCACAATGCCGACAACAGTCACCTTCAAAGCCATCTCGTCGTACGTTGATGGCGCAATCGTTGTCGACCGTCTACAACACGTAGCCAGTCCGTCCACAGCCCAGCAATCAATGCCCCATCGCCGAGTTTAGGCCTGATCGCTCGACTGGGATGCCCCGCCCCCATTATGCAGCCATATGGCCTCCTATCCACCACCATGCTGCCATGGTCTATGCCTTCAATCTGGATCTGGAAGGCAAGGCAACAGAATCAGGTAGGTCGATAACTACGGAGTACACCAGCGCACCAATCAGTCATGCGCGACAACACTAACTGCAGCCTTTCCATGCACGCTGCAAGATGCTTGCGCTATTGATGAACTGCTTGTGCGGCCGGAACTGCCATTCGGAAGAGCTTGATACTGCGGAGCTCTCGTCACCTGTCTCTCCGAATACAAGCGTGGCACGGGGAGTGGATCGCAAGCTTCCAGAAAACGCACCCTCTATTACACATCTGGCTTCTAGGCTGACTTGCGACATCTCAGTACATCTTTCACGAGATTGTTACCGAGACTAGCAAGATGACCACACGGAGAATCCCCCATGCACATACCGAGTGCTCCATAACCACCTCTTATCTAGCAGTTACAGTTGACCTTTATCCAGCAACATATCACATTTCGCCCCGCCCCCCAATGTAGTCGACTTTATCTTACCATAGTCCCTGGCGTTTCGGACACGGCAGTTGCAAGTTCTACGAGACACACACGTCTTCGTTCAACGTTCAATTTCGCAATAAGAAATCTAATACCGTTTTGAATTTCCCGGGGATTATGGAGGCGTTCATGCGCGGGACTAAAATGTCAAATATCAACCCTGACCCAAGCAGTTTGTTCCGAAAAGGCAAGTGTTTAGTTTCAGGCAAGGTGCGGAATGTACTCCAAGGAACCAGACGTCAGACATGGCCAGGCAAGGGTCAGGGTTAGGGTCGTCATATCAAACTGACAGCCCTTCCCCAAGTACAGAGCACTCTGACGGAGTACGTTTCAACCAAGCAATTGGAAAGAGACCATCACAGAACCCGGCCGAAGGCTATTCAACAGTTACAAGAAGAGTATGGAATATGATCCCCAGTGTTGTTTCCGAATAGACTCATCATCAACTGTCATTGGCTCTGCGGCTTTCAAACCTCCAGATCGATGCACACACGAAAACTATTTAGCTGAAGTTTTTTTTTTTTTTCTTAATTACGGTGCCGTAAGTATCGTAGAAGAGGCTTAGTGATGGAAGATACTTCGGGCATAGGATCTACTGTTGCCTCGGAGTCAATTCTCTGAACGCGGGTTGCTTGGCAAGACTATCGCTTTCGATAAGCCTCCGACACCTGCCATGACTGTGGCATGGTGTAAGAGGATTCGTAAGTCAATATTCGGAGTGCGTCACAAACTTTCGCCTCTTTAGGAATGTGAGGATAGGAAAGACGCAATCCGGCACATGCAGGCTAGGCAGATGACGGGAGAAGGGGGAAAAAATGTCGTCTACAACTTCACGGCGAGCAGATGGGGACCTTGAGCCATGTTGTGTTGTTGCACCACATCTGCAGTTCGGCAGGTCTAGTTTTGTTCTGGAATATGTCTATCATGTGCGGAGTATGGAGTACCTATCAGGTACACGTCCTTTTTTTTTAATATTCGTCACCGTGCTACACGAACAGAGATATGCAGTATCAGCTGACACCATACGGCGAACGGAGTACGTGTCTCGGAGTGGACTTATAGAGTACACGGTCATGAGTCGCCGACAGACTGACCATCCGTCGTATCCGACAATGTCGCTTTGGCACTCATACTCGGCACAGAAAAGATGAACTCGCTGCAGCCAAACTACTTTGGGCATTGGCAAAGTCTCAGATGGCCACCCTTCCAAGCGGCATCGACGTTCAAGTATGGCTCCCAGAAGATTATGTACTGCCATGAAAAAGAGATGACACTTGAATTGACAGCATCTCGAGACGAAAGGAAACCAACGGTTCCAGTCATACGACACAGTTTGGGTCACAAAGTTGCATCGGCTCATCGGCCGCGCGCCAATATCCGGTGGTTGTTCCACTCAAAGCCGCCAATCACTCAAGTCTGACAGCATCACTGGGCATCCGCTTGGCATTGCAGCCCATGCATGAAGTGCTAAGTCGGTTCAGATGAATGAGAAACAAAACACTCCACATCTTCAAGCAGAACATCAAGCGCCGATAGCACGTGTTCGTGTTAGTGATTCACCTGGAGCTCCGTACCGACGACAGGCTCAATGGCTTGGTGTCGTTGAATGGGTTTCGCCAAGTACAAACGTCCTAAAGAGAAATATAATCTCGTCTAACATGTCCTAGACCGGACTGGCCCCCAAATTTTCAAAAGCCAAGGCGGACGGCTTGACGGCCTAGAGCTCGAAAACAGTGAGTGAAACCATCCGAGACTCAAGAGCAGACAAGCACTACCTGGCTTCAACATGCAATCAATTGTACATATGCATCTTCCTCCCCACAGACTAGGGACCGGGATCTACGTGTAGTTGGGAGCGCGGGCCCCAGGTTCTCTTGGGTAGCCGACGGCACCATTGCCCGCATGCCAGCAAAAAGACGTCAACTCATTTGCCAGGACTGTCGCATTGTCGGAGGAGAGCGAGCCCTGGAATCTCTTCAACCAACTGTGTACTGTATTGAGTGCTCCGTAACTCTGCACGCCTTGGGAACATGTGGCGTCGATGCACTATATGCCGTCCGGATGGCGATTGATGTCTGTGGTGAAAGGCAAACATTGATGAGGCCAAGACAACGCTCGACCGGACAGCCAAGACTCTTGCATCAGCCCGTCAGCCCGTCATCAGCCAAGGTTCAGGCCCAGGCCGCCACCTCAGAGTCACCAGGTAACGTTTGGTGGAAGCGCCCCTGTGCCGTTCTGGCAGTTCGCCCGATCCCATGTCCGAATTTGTTTGTTGGTCATGGACCAGCCCCTCAGCTGCACCAAGCGGGCTTCGAGCTGTGGATGTTGTGTTCCACTGAAGACGCACGCCATGCCGCAACTCGCTCACTTGGACTAGCCACGAGTCACCGGCATGGCAACAGCAAGTCTGGCTGGTCGTCTCGCACGGTGAGAGCCCTTCGCTGCCGACTAAGTGGACCATGATACGAAGTCCTCGGTCGGTTGAGGAGAGGAGCCATGCCGCCCGCGCTGACTCTACTTCACGTGTCCTTGCATCAACTAGGGCCCCTGGTTCAATGGTTGGATTATTGAACAGACTGGCACCGTTATTCCCACTTGCTTGAGCCATTGGCACCACCCAGGTACGCGAGGTCCGTCGACTGGTCCTCTGTTACCCTTGTCATTCTTTCAGTCGAGAGGTCCCGCTTGCTCTCCAAGTTCTCTTTTATTACGGAGTAATTTCCAATTGTCTCTCCATCTCTTGTCGGTGTTGGTTCTGCAGCAAATTTTCCTTTTGCAATTGCTAAACAGCCAAGCTAAGACCTCGTTAGAAATCAAGCTGCCGAGCGGTTGTCTATCTGTGTTAATCGACCGTCTACTTGCTATCGCTGACTCACACCAAACGGTTAGATTGGTTTTTGGAGGTAACAAGACCATTTCATGGTTGGCAGTCATGCGAGGATACCATCTGCGACTGTCGGGGCTGATTCATAGATGATGCATCATTGATGGTCATTGCGACTGGAACTCTCTATCGTGGCGCACGCGGTGTCTTAGGACACGGTGGTTGTTCAGTCCTCGATCAAAATGAAGTTTGACAAGAAAGCGCTGCTGGGCTCCTCTTTCTTCTTCACATGTTTTGTCTATGCAGGGACGGGAGCGGGTATGTTCCGTCGGGACCAGATGCTGGCGCCTTCATATGGCGTCTCACCCTCGCGTATAGAACCTAAACTAATCGCGATGGACATGTTTCAGACCTCTCAAACCGCCCTCAATATCCGCGTAGAGTGCTCAATGCTACGATTAGTACTTCCGAGCAAAGCCTACAACGACCTTCATCAGACCCCGCTACAGTGTCATCATCGTCGGCAAGCCATCTTATAACCACAACCCCAACCCCGTCAACCACCACTGCATTATCACAAGGTAGTCCTAATGGCTCCGTATCACTTGGCTTGCCTTCCCAGCAAGACCCATCATCAAAACCTACCGATTCATGGCCTTCGGAAATAAGCACTCTGAAGACCAGATCAAGGAGCCGCTCTCAAGTATCCTCTTCTTCCTCAGTTTTGTCATTAACATCAAATCTGAGAAATCTCATCGCATCAGCCACAGCTCCAAACTCTTCCACAAGCGATGGACCCTTCTCTACGTCACGAGAGAGGCCTTCTGGAAATGCGCCATCTGATAAGCATGGAAACACGAATAATGGCACAGACAGCCTGCTTCCCTCGAGAACGAGAAATAGGCATCCAACCTGGTCCACCCATGCATCCAATCACACCATCACTGGGACGGGGACGGGGACTCGACCTCATTCAACAAATTGCAACCGTGTCAAGGCCCAGACAACAGTGACGATGGAATGTCCAATAGGATTTGACATGTGCTATATACCTGGCGAGCCAGAATCTGCGGATGAATCTGTCTCAACTTCAACAATCACGAGGAAATGTACCCTATTGGAGGATGAAGAGGAGCCAATGACGATTTACTCGATTGTTCACACTAAGACGGTGACTTTTTATGGCAATAGCACTGACTATACACCACCATACTCAACAATCAAGACTCCAGTGTACTGTTTAGATTTCGAAGAATCGCCAGCGTCTCCAACGACAGAGGGACAAATTCCCGAGGTTACCCAAGTCGCAGCAGGAACAACGACGGATTATTTCAGGTCCCTTACGCCATTCATACGACCAAAAGTCACCTTTATCACGACAGACAAAAACCCCTCGGTCGTGTTTCCTTCTGACCCTCCACCCAATTACAGCGCAACATGGTCTGATCCATACCCAAGCCCGATAGTGCACAAATCTGTGCCACCCCAGGGCGATCAGGACGATCAGGACGATCAGGACAATCAGGACAATCAGGACAATCAGGACAATCAGGACAATCAGGACAATCAGGACAATCAGGACAATCAGGACAATCAGGACAATCAGGACAATCAGGAAGATCAGGACGATCAGGACGATCAGGACGATCAGGACGATCAGGACGATCAGGACGATCAGGACGATCAGGACGATCAGGACGATCAGGACGATCAGGACGATCAGGACGATCAGGGCAGTCTTGGACATCAGGGTGGCCTGGGACGGACGCCTGAGGGAAACAATCAACCGCGACCCACGTTTAATGTCACAGCAAAGGGGAACGAGGTCATCATAAACACCGAGACATATAGTTCGTTGAAACCAGACCAGACCACGACCGTCAGCGTTGATGGCGGCAAGTTCACGATTTATCCCACAGCCATTGTCGGTGTAGGAGGCACTGTTGCGAAACCGCCTCCTGCCCCGACTAAATTCGGCGTCCCGTCGCCGACAAAGGGCACCGTTGGCGGACTAGACGTGTCCTTGTCCGGCTCACAGGTTGCCATTGGCGGCGTTACGATGACCATGCCGCCCCATGGCACGACGACGAATATACAGGGACAAGGCGTGACAATCAGCGCAAACAAAATTATTGTCGGAACAAGGTCGTTCAAGTTCAATCCGGTACAAGCACCGCCTGAGTCCGAAGTTGTAGTTGCGGGGGGCGAGATGCTCACAGTCGCGGGTAAAAGCGTCGTGGTTGTGCATTCAAAAACAATCACGTACGGACCCGACACACCGGCCACCACCGAAGTTGTCGAGGGTGACACGGTCGCGATTGGTCCGTCAGGCGTTGGTGTACATGGCCTGGTGCTAGGCGGCTTCCAAGCCAACGAGACAGACACGAGATACGAGATCATCGGCGGAGCGACCATAACCAAGATTGCCCCTTCCATCGCCATCATCAATGGCAACACGTTCACCGTCGGGCCCGGCTCGCATCTCACAACCACGGTGATTGCCGGCCAAGGGTTCACACTCGGCCCCATGGGTGTCATCGTGCCAAGCATCACCCTATCGTACCCATTTGGTTCGACTGTCGTCACAACCATCTCACCGACGGGTACCTGGCTCAATACGCTTCCCATAGAGACGAGTCGTTCCCCCCAGGACGACGATCACGACAGCATGGGTCCTTTCATACGACCAAGCCTGTCCTGGGCGGGCGTGGCACTTTGCATAGCGACTGGCGTTTTAGTATTTGTATAAACATGTTTGATCTTTATTTTCTTTGGATATACAGTGAAGAGACCCCTTTTAACTGGTGGGTCGACACGAATCAGACCATGAGGTAATGAACCGGGACGGAATTTTGCTTTTTCTTTTTTTCTTTTTTCCCGTCTTTTATCCAACCTCGGCCCGTGTCTTCTTTTGCGGCGTTTAAACACAGACGATGGTGGAAAAGGTGCATTGGGGATGGCGCATCTCCCTGTTGGGCCATTGGGCTGGTTTATGTATGAATAAATAACATTGGACGGCTGGGAGCTTGTCCCTGGGACCCTAATATATCAACCAACTACAATAGGTACTTGCTTCAGTGGCTTATCCTTTCTGAAAAGGACTTGCACTGAAGCAACCAATGAGCCGGACACCCATCTCACCCGTGTCTCGGGACAAAGCATCCCGCCAGTCTAAGCCGCGACGCGCCCCTCGAAAAATGTACAAAGGGGGGCCACGGGACCAACGTAATTGGAATTCAACTGCGGTTCGCTCATGTAAACCGTGATATTTGCCGCAATATATGGGCCAGCCGGGCCTGGCGCGGCCTTGATGTTCAAATTTTGGCCCAAGCTGCAGCGGCTGTCCTCACACCACGCCTACCTAGTCAAGGCTGTACGCCATTTACCATGGGCCATTTGACATGACTGTGGACGTGCGGGTTCCTTTTCGCCATCCCCCATCTGGGCATGCAAGTCCCATGGGCCCGCGGCACTTGATTTCCGAGCCGACGGAGCTGAATCAAAATTCACTCGGCAGTATTCTGCACGCCGCTAGACTGTCTTGCCAAGGACAAGAGACCAAAAAAAAATGACGACATACTCAACCTGACGTCGGGATTCGCCCGTCATGTAGAATCTTGTATTGCCCGTGTGTAGTATGCGGCACATCAATCCTGGCCGCAAACACAAGCGCACGAGACGCAATCAACGTTGTAGAGCAGAAAACAACAGACTGTAAATTTAAACAAGGCTGCTAATGTTGAATTAAGCACAATGCGTTGAATCAAACCATATCTACTGCCTACTAATGCCCTTCCCCTTCCCAACACCCTCCGTATCCAGGGGAGGGAAGTCACCCTCGACATGCACACCTAGCCCTACTTCCTCATGCTCCTGCATACTTAGACTCATTGCCAAGGCAAGATCTTCGTCTTCAGGGTTCAACTTGGATCGACCCCCGTTGACGGGGGTGTGGCTCGTTGATGCGGGCGAAGTAGATGTCGAACGAGATCCCTTGGCTTTCTTCGTCTTGACTTTGGTTTGGATAGGAAAGTGGAAATCGCCAGAGGAATTACCACGCGGGGATTGACCGACGTCATTCACGCCTTCCAGCAGCGAGAGCCGAATCGCTTGCTGGATTTGCTGCTCGAATTCGCTCTCATCATTGTCGGTCACGCTGGCTATGGGAGGGCTCACATCCGTGACGCTGGGCTCGGGAGTGATGGTGTCGACCGAGCTTTCGCTGATGGATGATGCTGTGTCTAGACTTGCCTCGGCAGCAGAGTCGCTAGCTCGACGCTGTTCTTCCTGGAGGTAGGCCTCCTCGGAGACCATTTCCGCGTATCGAAGGGCCTCTTCTTCGGTGAGGTCGCCCAGAGCGCCAACGCCAAAGCGCTTACGGAGATGCGCCTGCTCGCGGGCGCGGGCTTCATTTTCACGGCGGAGCTCTCTTTCTTCAGCGGCAATGTACCCTGAGACTGTGCCGCCAAGTCTGCGACTGGCAATGCGTCCGTGGATATCGGAGTGTCTGGCTCGACGCTTCCGACCTGTCGGGTGACTAGCTGAGCTGTACGTCCAGTACCGAAGAAATGCGCCAAAGGACACCACGCCCCGCAGGACCGTTGGGTCTGGATCTAGATAGATGGCACCGACTGCCGAATAGTTTCCCTCCCGAAGCGTTGGATTCATGGTCATCATGTGGCGCGGCACACGGCCATTGGATCGCGCATTGAGAGTTCGAATAGGCTCCAAAGTCGACGCAAGGGGATCCCAGGCTTGCACGAGGCCGTCACTTCCTCCATGGACCAAGTACAACGCTGACACTGCAAGGCACGAAATCTCAGGAGAATCTGTGTGCAAAACACGCAGAGGCTGCGCAGCTTGGTGTCCGACTTCATCGCGAGCATTCCATACCGTAATAACACCAGTGTCAGTGCCAATCGCCAGGAGACGGGCTCGACGCCCCGGAATCTCTGTAACAGCCTGCTCAGCCTTCCCCGCTGATGTCTTCGTGGGGGTAGTCGTAGACGCAGTGACAACTCCAGGTGCAGGAGTAGACTCTCCTGCTGCGTGCAAGGGGTCCTCGCTGAGCGTGAGCAGAGAGTGACTCGAGCAGTCTAAACTGCTAGCGGTGATATTGACTGCCTGTTGGCCGCCTTTGAGCGCAAAAGCGGTACAGTTCCAGTCGTGCAGGCTGGCTGTAGACTGACGCTGCGGCGACATGGGCGTCGGGGGAGGCGGGTGCGGCGATTGAGGCTCCGGGGTTGCACAATCCATTGCCGCAGCCATTTCCGTCGATCCAAAGAGCGATGGCCGTGGTCTGATCTGTGCGATCGCTGCAGAACCGCTTCGTTTTGGACCACTCTGTTGGTGTTGCACTACGGGCGAAGCCAGTGACCGCCAGTATCGCAACACTCGAGCGGGTGTTTGGTCAGCAAGTCCACAGTCAATGACAAAAATGCCTTCCCCGGCCCCTGCGCCATCATCGCCGGCGAAATCAACCTCGAGCCTTCGTCTCATATCCCAGCCCTCGCATACCTTGCGAAAGTGAGACGGCTTGTAGCGAAGGTACTTTTCGATTTCGCGAGCTTCAGCTGCGAGTTGCTCTTTGCTAAGGATCATGTCATTAGATGGTGAGCGTGGCGTGTAGGCTCCTCGCACCACATTCTTGTCCAACTCATCCGGTCTGGCAGTGCGCCTAGTCGACTCCAACAGGTGCCAGTATGCTGTCCTACCAGCAAGCCATGCATGTCTAATGACATCGTTTCCGTTGCCGCGATTGAGTGTAGTCACGGGGCTGTCTGTTAGATAGTAGACTTCGCCTAAAGCATTAAGAGCTACGGCCCAGACTCTGAACGACGACCTGCGCTTCACACTATAATTATCATCAATCTTGAGTGAAATGATTGGCACGCCGGGGCTGAGAACCCATCGGGCTGTCATGTCGCCATTGGCATATCGTGGACCATTCGGATCGCTTCCAAGTGAGTAGGCGGTAACAACGCCCAGTGCAGAACCCGTCAACATACCGCACATAGACTGGGTGGCGGCTGGAACGGCGGGCGACTTTGCAATCCACAAACTGCAAATGGCATCTGACATTTCTGGAATCTTGGGTACATCTGGGTACGTGTCAACTACTCCAGTGTCACCACCAAGGTAGCGACCACAAGACTCATTGACGCCTCGAAAGTGAGCGCGACCGCCTGGGAAACCTTCGCCTGCTATAACACCATACGGTTGACTGACATCCATGACATTGGGGACAGCGACGGGTCCGTCTCCGAGACCATAGGGAACAAGATTTGGCACCACTTCTTCCAACTGGGCAGCCGAGAATGGGTCCTCAAGGCCCCATTTCTCAATCTTGCCGCTTGTCGGATCGCTCATGGTAGCAACACCAAGATCACCAGCTCCCTGGATGGCGCGCGGAGGCCGCTTGCCGTTGGAGAAGACAGCATGAATATTGGTAACCAGCCATGGGAGCTTTGAATTGTATGTCAGGACAGCACTCCTACGCTTGGAAGATTTGCTTGCTCCTCCGGAAGCACCAATACCACCGGAGCTACTTCCGGGCTTGCCTCGTGCCAAACTTCTCATCAGCCGAGTTCGAAACAGGTACTCGCTCCGCCAAGTGGCAAGAGGGGTTAGGCGGCCAAAGTAGCGTATGTCAGATCGCACGACATCAGAGGTCGACCCGGCCCAGAGATCAGCGGTTCTTTTCGTAGACGTTGTATCCAAACAAGTATGCCCGGGGAAGTATCGCATGAATGCCATACGCCATGCATGCGGGGTCGTCACCAGCGCATAGAAACGTTTCGATACCAAAGCCACGGCGGCATGTGAATCAGGATGCAGGTGTGATAATATGTGTGTCAGAATCTCTGCAACGGCCAACAGTTAGCGGAGGAAAGCAATGGCGGATGGCCGTTCTGCTAGCTGTGATGTAGCCGTCATGATAACAAGCGTTTTCTGTTGACAAAACAAAACCCAAGCGCAATAACTAACCATTTGGGAAATCTGTCATTTGAGGGCCATCAGATGAAGCAGAGCGTCGAATGACCTTGAACCCTAGAGCTTGCCTCGGAGTAGGCGGCGTAAGGGCGTTTTCATAGTCTGAAACTCTCTGACCGGCAGTGATAGGGCGATTTCGACTCGTCTTGGACTTCCCGTCAAGACTCAATCCACGCAGTTTCTCATCGAGCTTATCAGCATCGACTGCATCGCGAGGTTCACGGCCAACGTCCGACACAGAGTGCGGCGAGGCGCTGTGTGAGTCACGGCTAGAGCTTGCGGAGCGGACTTGACGGATGTCGCTGGACCCATGGTGAAAAAAGCCATGTTGAGATGAGGAGCTTGGAGCTGGAGTGTTGTTGGACTGAGAAATCTGTTCTGAGGACTCGGATGGCTGTCGTTGCATATAGCTAAGCGCGGAGAGAGAGGTGCGACGAGTGTTTTGGCTGTGCACGACTTCTTGCACAGTCCGTAGAAAGAATCAATCGGAGAGCGTTGGAGGCGATGGAGAGAGCTGAAGATGAAAACCAATTGTACGGTACGGTTGCGATGGTCTTGTGTGTGATGGGCCGCGAGAAGCGAGGATTATGTCAAGTAGAAAAGAATGGGCGCTTGAACCGAATGACGCGACTGCCACACCGTGGGTATCGTATGCATCCGCAAGTGCCTATTTTACCGGTATAATTCCGAAAAGGGGCTAACGAAGGAACAAGCTCATAAACTCCCATTCCCATGCCGCCATGGCGATACATGTCA